CGAAATTTGACTGCGTGCGTACATATATAGTAATGGCTACTGTTGTTTTTTATAATGAATTTATAAAATATATAAATATAGCGAGCAAATATTAACATAAAAGCGCTTATAAATCTATGCATATTGGCTCAGCTTGGCTTGGCTCGGCTTGGAATCGGATGTTAAGCAAGGTGTGGTCTCAAACTATTTTGAATTCTCCCCGAAAAATTTGAACTGCGGCGTACATATATAGTAATGGCTACTGTTGTTTTTTTATAATGAATTTATAAAATATATAAATATAGCGAGCAAAATATTAACATAAAAGCGCTTTTAAATCTATGCATATTGGCTCAGCTTGGCTTGGCTCGGCTTGGAATTGGATGTTAAGCAAGGTGTGGTCTTAAACAATTTTGAATTCTCCCCGAAAAATTTGAACTGCGTGCTTACATATATAGCACTGATTACTGTTGCTTTTATAATGAATTTTTATTATATATATATATATAAAGTGACTGGAATCCATGTATACAAATAATTAAATTATATTATATTAGATTATATGTTTATATGAAAAGCAATATAGCAGATTCAACCAGCCAATCAGAAAGTTTCGAAGGCGTTCGTTCGATGACTTCAATTTAGTACGGTTAGCATTGTGGTTAAGACTGTATAAAAGTGCAGTATATACATTAAACAAGTTTTTTACTGATGCGAATGATTGAAATGATGAGAATGTATGGTTGAAACGAGTATAAATAGAGGAGCTGAGACAACATGAAAGTCAGATCAGCATTCTGCCTCGCTTGAAGCAGTCTGTCTGATCTCATTTATTTTATTTTTAAAATTTTTTTATTTTTATTTATTTTATTATATAGAGTTATTTAGAGTTATATAGAGTTATATAGAGTTATATAAAGTTATATAGTGTTATATAGAGTTCGCATGTTTGTAGGTGGTTTGAATGATTGTAGGTGGTATTTTTTTAATTTTAGGTGGGTTCTTTAACGGTTGCTCATACATACATACATACACCATGTTTGTTTGTGTGGTAGTATTTTATGTTCTGTTTTACTCCTTTTTCTCTTCCTTCATGAGTCTTGAGTTAAGTTAATGAAGCATAGGTAGGTGAGGTAAAAATTAATTTATTATATAGGTAGGCTAGGGCATAAGGTAATTTATTTACATAGGTAGGTTAGGGACTCCTATTCTTTTACTCTACTTGGTGGTGTGATTTTTGTTTTGTGTTTTTTTTTGTTTTGTTTGTTTCTCTTTTTGTCAATTGGCTGGCTTTTCCGGCTGGCGGGTTCACCGCGGCTCG